GAGACAGCGGCTCATTTAGTGTTGCGTCACAAATGCAAAGGGGGGGCACAAAAGGGTATTCTCTCAACAGCCACCAGGAAGCGAGACAGTTAAGGGCGTGGTGGCGGGGAGAGCAGGCGGGCCACTACGCAAGCCAAAGTTGGCCAGAAGAAACCACGAGAGACAAACTCCGATTCGGGAAGCTGAGTTCACACAGGTTGCACCGATGTCTAGGAGCGGAACGAAGATCCGGGCGGAGGTCGGGCGACAAATCCCAAAATGAGGGTTCAAGGGAAGATGGCCGGCGCTTGTCAAGAACAGGTCGGAGACGTGGCTGCGCGGACGAGAAGGGAATGTGTGGGGCGTCACGCGCCGGGGACCAGCGCGACTCAGCTAGGAGCGGCGTGCCCCCGCCTGACGCCGGGCGCAGAGAACACGTGCGACCCCGAAGGAAAAACGGAGAGAGAAAGGCTCCTGTCGGCTGCTCCCAAACACAAAGATTGAAAAACGACGGAAGCGATTTAATCGCGATGAGTTCAACTACACCAGCGCCTCCCTCCTGGTACCTGGAGGAAAGGGGTGAGGTGAGGAGGAGAGAGGTGGGGGAGAGGATGGAATGAGCCGTCAGAGGGAGGAGAGGTGGACGTAGAAGAGGAGGGGTTGCGCAGAATGAGGCAATAATTTAGGAGGGAGTGCGCACTGAAGGGTAATCGGAGTAAGAAGGGGAGGAGCGAAGTGAGAAGACCGAGGGGAGCAGGTGGTGGGGAGGAAGGGAGGGTCGGGGACGATTCGAGGGGGGAAGCGCGGGGTGGGTTTTGAAGAGAGTCCGTACGATCCAACAACCCAACTGTGTGTTTAGATACGCAGCTGCAGGCATGCCCTCAAACCTCAGCCGCCTTCCTCTCCCTCGACTCAGTTCATATAATACACGAAGCCGCAGAGGGAGAACCTATGGCCTGATGTAGAACAAAAAACACATATAAGCCTTCTCAGGCGAGCAACCTCTCGGCTCGAGCGCAGATACGAGACACGCCCGCTCTAATACCCAGGTCCTTCAAATATTACCGCGGGCGGTGTCTCCCCAACACACCGCGCACAAGGCCCGGAGAGGCAAACGAGACATCTAGAGAATTACGTCACTTGCCTTACCATGCCAACCGAAAGAAAAAATGACGAGAGGACAATACAAATGGATGAGTTAATCAAGGGAGAAGAGAGGGAGCGAGGGAAGTCTGGATAAGCTAAAAAGACTTTCGAAGCCGTGTAATATATAAGATTAAGAGTGCTGACTTCATAGAAGAGGTGAGATTCACAGATTACGAAACGAGAAGAAGGGAGCGGAAAGCAGCTGTGGGTATTTTATAGAAAAGACGAAACAGAGGTAGCTTCCACCTGGTCCTGCCTAAGACTGTCCACCACCACATTCTATCCCTAGCTGCTGGGTCAAACGAGCAGTGACGTTTTAACGCTGCAGCACCACTTCAGCAGCATTGTAGCAGGAGAGGCGGACCTACAAAATGGTTGCAGTGAGCAGTGGGGGATACGCTGGGGCCGGCAGTGTTTCAATTTGGGACAGGAGTGGAGTGTGTTGCAAATGTGAGGCGAGGGAACTGGCAGCAGAGGGAGGAGGAGGAAAAGCAGTTGTGTCACCACAGTTGAGGGTGTCCTCTTTCGGGCCTGGGCATAAACAAATCGCTAGGGGAGACGAGGCTAGGCGAGGATTGGTCCGACAGACGATGAGAGCCGAAGGAAGAATGGCCGTGTGCAGAGGACGAGGAGAGAGGACGAGGAGGGAAGAATGGAATGAGGATAGCTCCTGAGACGGCCAACGCCGCAACCCGTACTGCGCGGGCGCCGCAAAGATTTCTCTTCTTTCATGAGTGACGAGTCTACAGGGTGTCGAGAGTCTGACACAGACAGAGGGGGCCGCGGTTGACAGAGGTTCCCCGGGGGCGCCAGAAACGGATAACAGTGTAAGTGTGAGAAAGATACTCGACCTAGAGAAAACCTCTGCTGCTCGGACGACAGGGACACGCGAGAAAAGAAGAGAGAAGTGACAGTGAGACGGGGTAAAGGAAGGAAATGAGGAGAGCCTTTGGTGGGGGTAAAACGAGGGGAAAAAGGAGAAGGAAAGCGGGGAACAGTGAAGCACAGCCGAAGGAGTAGCCACAGCATGGAGCGATGATAGGAACCAGTGGAGTGGTGACCCCAGTGAACATCTTACTTTTGTCTACCTCCAGTGCTCCTTCTGTCACTGTCACAACTACAAACCCCACCAGCTCTGGTCCATGTGTGAGTGACGTTGTGGAAGAAAGAATAGATGCAGGATGGTATAAAACACAAGAACATCAATAGGGAGAGATGGGCAGAAAGAATGACAGAAGAAGGTGGGAAGGAGGAGAAGGTAAGTTAGCTGACAGAGAAGAATAAGGAGAAAAGAGGAAAGGAGGACCGAAAAGTGGAGAAAAGGACGCCGAACAAGACAAGAGGGAATTGCATAAAAAGGTGGGGCTGCGATTAGGAACATCTACATGTTACTCATACTGTCTACGCGCTAATTGGCAAAACTTCACTAATGCAGAGGTGGGCGCAGTGAGTGCTCCTCCTGCTCTAATAGGGGCAGCCGCGCTAGTGGGTTAGGGTGTCGGGTGTTTTTATCAGAGGAAAGGGGAGGGGTAAGAGGAGGGCAGCGAGGACAGGACAACGAACAGAAAAGCAAACCAAGTAGAGACAGAGGGCAGGAGGAGAAGTCGGAAGGAGTCGAGGGAGAGCGAAACCAAGTGGAGGGAGGGGACTGTCGACTATGACAGCAAAGAGTTTTTTTGTTGTTTTTTTTTCATTGTTACCGGGCTTTTTACGTTGGAAGCACAGAACGGCACTGGAGAGAGAGGAGGGAGGCCTAAGCAACGGAAGGAGGGAAGAGGAAGGAAGGGCAAGAGCTGTCCCGAAGCAGCTCGCGGGGCGGTGGTGGAGCCACGCGTGGCTGGTTCCTCCAGACCACAATCCGTTGGACGAGGGTTCCCTGCAATCAATCCCTCAACCAATCAGGAAGGACAAAACGCTAAAGTAGTTGCTAGTGGCGAAAGTGGTTTGGATATTAGGGGAATGAGAGAGCAGAAAGGGTTATTCTAAGGCGCCGAGGTGAGTCGGCATCTCAGTATTAATGTAACATCTTAAGCTTTTTGAGTCCGTTGTTTTGTTGCCCTTTATCTACGAGTAAATTCATTCTTGTGCAACGTGGAGAGACCGATGGGAAGAGAACGAGAGAGGCGGCGAACAGCGGGGGGAGAAAAGAAAGGAGAGGGGCCTAGTGGCGCTTAGTAAGAATTAAAAAACAGGTGTGATGTGTGGTAATGTAATGGAGTTGACAATAGCAAATTTTGCTTATGTGATCAGTTGCAACGATGTTTGATTTAGATGCATGCACAATTACTAATAGAGATAATAAAACATCTTCAAAAATAAAAGTATATGATATGAATGCTTAAAGGAGAGAGTAGAGAAGTGAAATGAGAAAAAGTGGTTTTTGAGGTTGAATTTGTGAATTGCTGACTTGTGTTGGTGTGTTGTGTTGTGTTGTCGATGTCGAACCCCCTACCAAGCTGAGTTGCCCTGGTAGCTACATAGGTTGGTTAGAGGGCTCGCAACAGAGGTCGTGGGTATTAGTGAATCCCACCTAGGGCAGCTAAAAAAAGAGAGGGTTTTGTAGTTGATTTGTTGGTTGTGCCTTTGCCTTTTTTAGTGTTATATACCTCATAGTTTTTTAACACGCACACACCGACACCCCTGCCCGTTCCACAGGTTCAAGTCAGGGACGGATTGTGGACAGAAAGGCGAAAATAAGAATTCGTAATTGCCTAAATGTTATATATAATAGATCGACGCAACCGGGAGGGTCACTTGTGATTAAGGGTGGACGGACGCCGGGTTAGACGAAAGGTGCGAGGGAGAGTCTGGATGAATCGGAGGGAAAGGACGAGGGGGAGATAATCTCAAGGGATGGGGGTAAGAAAGGTAAACTACAGGAGGAGGAGTGGCAAAGGTAGCAAAACTAAGAGGTGGGAAAGAAGAAGAAAGAAGCAGTTATGGCGGGAGAAACAACGAGGCCAAACTTATTAGAAGAAGCTCCCGGCACCAAACCCGACCCTAGGGCAAAAGTTCTACGAGTATGGCTTGGACATTCGACTGCTAGAGAACACGGTTAGTCGTCCCATCCCCATAACAAAGAGGCAACCGCGAGAAAATTTATGGTGTGTCTAAAATGGGCGGCGCCAGAAATCTGATATTTTCTGACTCGTCGCGCCGCGGCAGCGACAAGGGCAATGTGACCATATTGTGGATACCTAGCATAATAAGCGACTACTAGTGCTCACCCCTCCTCCAACCATGAGGGCTCTCTACGACACTGGCTTGCTTTTGCCTCAGGAAAGCAACAACTGTGTTGTGCAGCTCGCACGGATTTTTCCGTACGGAACGTACGGATAAGATAAAACATCTAAGAAGCGACGGAGAAAAGGAGATGGCGGTAGGAAGCAACTCGAAGACGAGTACAAGCCCGAGATCGATAAGCCAAACTTATCAAGAAAGACTAGGGCTGCCAACCAAAGGAGCATAGGTTGTTTTGTGTGGGAGTGAGTGTGCGATGCTATAATACTAGCTACACAAATACTCGGAGCTGTCGGGAGGAAAAGAGGGAGGGGGGGGGGAGGGAAGGGGAAGGAAGAGAAGAGAGAGACGAGAGAGAGGAGGAGAGAGAGCGAGGGAGAGAGATAGATGGGGAGGAGAGAGATAGAGAGGAGAGGAGAGGAGGCGAGAGAGAGGAGAGGATATATAGTTTTACTCTAGGCTATGCTATCTCTCGTATAGTCTGCGGTAATATCCTGTCTTGATAGATCATTTCTGATCAGCCTCCATAGTAGAGTATATATCTCTCTCTATTATCTCTCTCTATATCGCTATACGTCTCTCGGCTACTCTATCTCTCATATCTCTCTCTCTGTCAGGGGGAAGAGAAGAAGAATGGAAGATGTGCTGTGTCAGTAACGACGGGATCCCCGCGTGCCCAAGAAGAGAGAAAGAGAGATGCAAGTTCTTTCTCCAGGACACACTGACACCAGGGAGGACGACTGCGATTTTACCTGGTCGATCACACCAACCGCAACACACGCTCCTTTTTCCTTCAGACTTCGATTTTCTTAGGGCTCGAGGGCGATTTACTGTTACTATGCCACAGTTGAGACGCTGTAGCATTTTCTTAGGCAAAGCGAAAAGTGAGCCTGTTTTGACTTCTGAACTGTGAGATGTGTTTGTAGACGACTCTATCCATTTACAAGAAATACCAAAAAAATAATTTTGTGCTCGTGTTCACTGTACCAACAACACTTTGCATCTTTTTCCTCAGCTAGTTTTCGTTACCTACTATACAAATCTCTCTCTCTCTCTCTCTCTCTCTCTCTCTCTCTCTCTCGCTCCCCTTCCGTTCCCTCTCTCGCTGTCTATTTTAACGCTGTCAGGTGAATTTCCATGCAAGTTCTTCCACACTGTCTCGGGCTGTAAGAATGGAGACAGCTGCAAATTCTCACACGCTCCTCTAACTGAAGAGACCACTGAACTCCTCGCACAGGTAGACATATACACACACCCACACGCACCCACACACACTCACGCACACACACCTGTACACAGAGAGACACATGCACACGTACACGCACAGACACAGCAAAATTGTTTCATGTTACAGCATGTGCTAACCGCTTCTTTCTCTCTTCTTTCTCCAATGTCCTTCCCCAGGTACTAGAACCAGCAAGAACTCCTACAAAATGGGCAGCCCCAGCCCCCGTGCTGGGATTCCCTCCAGCAAATCCAGCAAATGCTCATGACGGTGTAAAGCTAGTCCACGGGCCGGACGCTCAGATCAACATCCGGTATTTCTCCACAGCATCAGTCAGTGATGACACTGCGGCGAAGAGACCTAGTGACCCTAATCTCACCAGCCCTCTCCTCATCTCCATCCCCAAACAGGTCCTGGGGGCCTCTCTCGTGGTGTCCATCCCCCGACAGAAGCTCGGGCCTCCTTTTGGTACCGTTCGCATCCCCCCTCCTCATCCTGCCCCCGCCAATCAGCCACAGATTCCACCTCACTCCCTCCCCCGTCACTCTGCCCCCATCCACCACTACTGTCCCCTCACTCCGCCACCCCACAATCAAATTTCCGCCCTCCCCTCGTCCCTCCAACGGGAACTCCATCCCTGGTTCCCCCGCAATCCGGACCCCCTGCTAATTTCCCCGGGGCAGTCCCGCCCCCCATACACAACCAACCCCTGCCCCCTCTTCCTCCTGGAGGATGGCAAGTACCTCCGCCTCAGCCTGTACCTCTTTCCTGCTCCGTCAGGGGGTCTGCACAATATTCCACAGGTTCCCCTTGCTCAGCTCCCACCACCTCACATGGCTGCACAGTTTCCTGCCCCCCTCGTCAGAGAGAAAATGTCTCCTCCCGACCCCACCCTCCCACATGAGGCTCGACCCAAAGAACATTCTGTGGTCTGAGGACGACAGGCCAGAGTATTGGGAGGCGGCACCATTTGGTCAGCAACCACCACCTGGTGGTTCTTTCGCACCCCAACCCCCTCATGTACCACAACCACAGGCCGTTGCATACCACAGCAGCAACAACCAGTATTGTCCATTACACCGAGAAACCAGAGCATACTCTTGGACAGAATGGATCCGAGACAGAACAGGATGGAACCAAGACCAGGAGGCAGTATGGACCCGCGGCGTGGAGGTCCCCTAGCTAACCCTCACCAGCCAGGGATGGGTGACCCTAGACACCACATTAGCATTGGTGCTCCGGGCAGCTCCACCATGCTGCCTACTGTACCTCCCTACCAGCCACCACACCCAGGGACCACACCCGCACAGTCAGCACCACACCCTGCTGGCTACCAAGGACCACACCCACCAAGTCAGGGATGGGCCCATCCACCCCCTCCTCAACCCAATCTCCGCCCACAGTTCCCTTCCCCCATCCCACCCGTATCAATCAACCCCGCCCAGCTGCCGCCCCACGGAGGACAACCAGGTGGACCCGGGACCTTCGGAAGCCCCACCCCCTACCAGCAACCACACCCCTCCTCATCTTCAGGCATTGCCCCTCTGACAAACTGGGGCTCTGCAAGTCCTGAATCCAGCACTGTTCCGTCCCCCTCGGCCGGCAGAGAAGGGGAGCAATCACGACCCCACAGAGTAGACCCACGGACAAAGTACTCTCATCTCAAGATCAAGTCTAAGAGCTCGGCGTCCCCAGCCAGTGGTGGTGGTGTACTGAAGGGAAGGGAAGGCGAGGAGGGAGCGGCCATCGACAGGACACACATGCCAAAACTCCTGCAAGAACCCCCAGCTCTCCAACGGCCATACGACCCCCACGAACTCTTTGACAGCGCAGCAAGTAAGGACGTTGAGTCGGACTTCGCGGTTTCCGGTCCGTTTGGGAGCACTTTTGGGTCGTTTTTCACGCGGTCTTCGCCACCGCAGGCCACCGGTAAGAGCAGTGGTCTTCCATACGGCGAAATCACAATGCAAGGTATCACTGAAAAAGAACCGGCTTACTACCGTACAGGGGAAACAAGACGAGAACACCGTCGAAGCAGCATCATCGCAAACCCATGAAGGTCCTCATGTGGACGAAAACGATAAGTCAAATTCGACCAAAAGTGCTGCGGTGCCTTCGTACCTTGCAGAGCTTGGTGTGGATAGCGACCTCACCATTGACAGTGCTTTCAGCTCTCTCATGGGAGGGGACGACAGCGGCAGGGGAGACGGGGAGCGGCGAGAAGACTGAAGTTATGGCAAAAAAGTTGCCTAGCATCTTTGGTTTCGGTTCTGGGACTTTATGATAAACATTGGAGCTGTTTCTTTGGTGTTTGTATGTCTGTGTGTTGTTATTATTATAGGGCATGCTCTCTCTGGCTTGCTTTTCCAAAGCCGCAGCATAATAATTCCATGTAACAATCTGAATGTTAGCTAATCACTAAATTTTCTGTACTGCGCAGTGTGATCAACTTTTCAATCAACCTACAGTTGCCTTGACGAAAGTCAGTGGAACCTCTTAACAAGGGACACTATTGGACCAACGATTTTGTCCCTTGTAGAGAGGTCGTCCATATTGTATCTCGGAGGTCACAAAATGCACCAAAGTATAATATTAGCATGGGGTTGAAACAAGTGTCCTTTGTAGAGAGGTCGTCCCTATCTCGGAGTGTCCCTTATCAGAGGTTCCACTGTATATTCTTTAGACAGAGTCAATAGTTTGTCCCCAACACATTTTGGAAGTGCACATTATTCAATAGTTGATGCAACAAGAGTGGGAGGAAAAGGGGGCACAAGATGACATGAGTGGCAAAAATGACACTGATTACTGATGTCATGAAGGTGTGTCAAACAAAGATTGCGGCTGGCTTATTGCGGTACTTCTGAGAGTGAAAGCTAACGGCTGGTATCCTCCTGTATCTGTTGCTCTGGTACAACTGCTGATGGAGAAAGTCCAGTGCCCTCTCTCTACCAACTGCAGCAGGCAGAGTCCGATCGGGATTGGTAGGAAGAGCCTCCACTCTTACACAACCAAACTGACTGCAGGAGGGAGGGAGGGAGGAAGGGAGGGAGAGAGGGAGGGAGGGAGAGGAGGGGGGAGGGAGGGAGGCAGGGAGAGGAAGGGAGGATGGGAGGGAGGGAGGCAGGGAGAGGAAGGGAGGATGGGAGGGAGGGAGAGGAGTACCAATATTGTGTTTTCCAATGGTCAACTTACCGTTCAGTTTGTGGTTGTTTCTTGCTCTTCCGCTGGTTTTTTCTCCGTGTTTCTGAAGTGAAATAAGTAATCTTTATGCACTGTACTAAACACCTTGTTTGTGAAGTTGCACCACTGTTGCTATTACTATTTCACGAGTGAAGCGAGCCGTTCAATTTTCACGTGTTTTCGCGCATACGTATAATATTACGGTAAGTGCAGTCTGGCAGTGCGGGTCACAACATAATATCCACATTGAAATGACTACGTAGGCTCACTTCGCTCGCCTGATTATACTATGGACGCAACTTACTTCTACTTGATTTTGAAGCTGGTTCCTCTGAGATGTCTTCTTGGGCAATTCTGTAATTCATTGGACGGCACAAGACACACACAGATATGCTATGTAGCTATAATTTCTGTTGGTTAGCATATCATCATGGGCTAGCTTAGTTAGACTGATGGTGTTGCTGCTCACTGTTGCTCCATCTCCCACAGCTTCTTCAAATCTGATTCGGGAAATCTTGTACTCCTTTTTCTCTCCTCTTTTGCGTCCTTGAAAAAGGTATATATAGCCATATGTACGTGCATGGCTCAGAGGGTGTAAACTCAGGCAAGGGCATATCAACTACTGTACACCTAGGACAACACTTTTTCAGAAGAAATAGCTGCCCTGGGTGTGCCGTGGGACTCAAAAAACGTCTCTTCTCTTGATGAGCGCTCTACCACTGAGCTACCAGGGCAACTCAAGTACGCAATACCCCAAACATGCACGAGACAGCACTTTTGAGTAGTTACAAGCACACGAGAGATGGTAGCCTCACTTTCTGTGTCTTGTAGAGCTGCTGTCTCTTCTTTCTCCTTTCTTTCACCCTCTCTGTCGCCCTGAAACCAGTGGAGCTGGCTTAACCAACTTTTAGTCTTGCGTAGCTAGACCATCACTCAGAGGAATATACAGGGGCCGGCTACGGGAGACTACAACCCAACCTAGTATATACTACGTACACTCAACCAGGACTAAACAAGCGGGGCCTTTCTCTCACCTCCTGGCTTCCGTGGAGGTGGCTTTGAGCGTCTTCAGCGCCTCTTCTCTCCCACGAGACAGACTGACATCTTCAGGAGCGGAGTCGCTGTCACTAGCCTTCTCCTCCTGTTCCACCTCTCCTCCTCTCTCAAACTCCTCCATGCCTTTTCCATGCATGTGCGCTCCCAGACAACCCCTCCCACCGAGCGCGAGCGTGTCATCCAGACCGCGCCGCCGGTCGGTGTATGCGCGCGCGTGCGTTGCCGCTTTGTAGAGTTTTTTAACTGAAGCATAAGTGAAATATACAACGGAAAAGAAACTGAGGAAAAAATGACTAGTAAACGGGGAAAAGTTGACAGACAACAAAGAAAAACTCAAAATTAACAATTAAACTAGACCATCGATGGAAGGGGGGAATGCGCATGCGTACTTATTGGCCTGAGGAAGTGCTGTGAGGCCAATGACCAACACACGGAAGAAGTGCACTGAATAAGATCACTCGACCCTACCCAGTTTACTCCAACTCCACTTGAGGTACATTTTGCCATTACTCGCAAACACAATGCAAAAAATAACAAAATCTTGGTGTGCAGAGAAATATTCTCACCCCTAGTAGTTACTGCAGAGATAAGGAGCTACTAGCGATAGTTTTGTGTGATTTAAAGTGTTTTGGGCTACACGTCTTTCCCTAACAGTTGTGAGTTCTAACAAAAGGCTACTTATAATGTAAGAGGACTCTTGCAGAAGGGTCGGTAGCGTCACACCACTTGGGCATCCAGTAGCGGGGGATGAGGGAGTGTCTGCCTGGATACAACTCTTCAAACACCTGACGGTAGTAATAAGCCTCTTTAGTAGCAGGGACAACCCCTTTGAATCGCTCTCCTGCCTCAGAGAGCATAGAGTCACTGATCTGTGGCAATATAGATTAGTGTGTAAAAGCAAAATGTAAAGCTATATAATATGCATGTGAGGTATATATTTGCGCAGCAACCTTGTCTTTAATGATGTCTTGGAGATATTCAAACCAGGACTTTCTCTTTGAAGTCAAACCATCACTAAATCCCTCTTTTGGACGCCAGAGAACGGCATCAGGCAGAATCCCTCTGTCACTGAAAGACTTTCTCAGGAGGTACTTCTCGATGCCTTCCCGAGGCTGCCTCTCTTCGGGGGAGAGGGAGAGGTAGTAGGACGTGAAGAACTTGTCCAGGAAGGGGACCCGGAGTTCCAGACCATGCGCAGCCACCGAGCGGTCAGCTCTGAGGCCGTCGTAGAGGTAGATCTCCTGCAAAAGCCGACGTGAATCCCTGTCTCCCTCCTTTGGCATCGGTGCCTTGTGGAAGTAGATGTATCCCTGACACACTTCATCTGAGCCTTCCCCTGATTGATGGTGGCATTTTAAAACACAAGTCTTGATTTAAGAACCATCTCCCTCTAGCACAGCGAACACACTTGGCGGTTCTGTTGCACTTACAGCACCGACGGGAGGGAACCGTTGCGCGCGCTATACGCGTATTTTCACGTGTTTATACTCTACTGGAGCTTTACTGTGGAGTCTGGGAAAGGCCTTGCAAAGCTATGTGGTTCTACTTTGGGTCAGCTTGAGCACAAGAGAAGAAGGATGAAATTGGATACAGGCACAAACTTTGACTAGTTGTCATCATCACACATTCATACACAAATGATGTGAGGACCAAAATTTCTGTATACACCAAAAATTATCTGTGCAAAAACGCTAGCCGCAACTAATGGTAACCTTAAGGTAGGCAAATGTAAGGTAGGCAAATGCAGGGCTTTTTTCGCACCGTTCGGACCACTAGCATAGCTCGCTCCTCGCCAATTACCAGAGAAAAGGATTGTTGTGTTGGTGTTTTCCTTCACGTACTTGGCCACCAGGTACATTGCAACAGCACCCCGGATAGTGAGGCTGTCATAGGTCTCCAGGGTGTAGATGACGTCACGAACTGCCTGAAATCCCTCCTCCTGAGTGAAGAATATCTCGTGGTGCTCCGTGTTGAGGTGCTGTGCCACCATTCTCGCATGTTCCACATCTGGTGACCCTTCCATCCCAATACAGAATGTCTGGATCCTAGGGAATAGCACAATTTACCTAAGTATCTACAGTGGAACCTCTGAACAAGATGGGGCCAACAGTTCTGTCCCTTGTAGATTGTTTTGTCCCTCGGAGATCAAAATATATACTAAAGTATTAGCATAGGGTTTGAAACAATTGTGGAGAGGCCGTCCCTATCTCGGAGTGTCCCTTATCGCAGATCCCACTGTATAACTGGTCTACTAAAGACGATGGAAAGCATCTACGTGGTACTGGCAGCACCCAACACCATGTGATTCATAAAATGGAAAATGGATGGGCTAAGCTGGTAAGATGCTATCTATTATAGGATGTACGGAACAAATGGGTGCAATTTTGTTCTACTTTCATCGGATGCCAGCCAAAGAGCTTAAGTTGACTTGTGCTATGTTCCCACTTACGGGCATCCCTTGTGCACAAATCCATTTCTGGTCTCTCTGATGGACTCCACTACCAGAGCAGCCACCAGACTGGAGTCCAGTCCTCCTGACAGCAGACACCCGATCCGTCTCTCTGTCATCAACCTCTTCCTCACCGCCTCCTTTAGCAGCTTCCTCACGTTGGCCTGGACGTCTGACGACAGGGTCATCCCCTTCTCTCTCACTGGGTCTGAACCTCCGATGGAGACAAACCGTCTCTCTGAGACAAGCGAGGTCTGGCCCTGCATCCCGAGTTCATAAGTCCTCACATGTCCAGGAGGGAATGGGGAGATATCGGCGTCTTTGCTGTTGATGGCAGCATACTGGAGTCCCTTCACCTCTGAACAGAGACCCAGGACACCTGAATAAAGCACCAAGTAACTGGTCAATACATAAACCCTCGGCGCGCATGCGCTGCGAGGGGGTTACTGTACTTGGTCGGTAAGTTTGTCTGTCTGTCTGTCTGTCTGTTACCACGTTTTCTGCAACCACGCGCAACGAGACAACGAAAGAGCGATACCAACAGGTTCATCGCTGCACTGGGTTCATTAAAAGACGATTTTCGTATAACTACAGAGTTCAAAAGTTATGCGTGAAAACCTAGTTAATTTTAACAAGCCAATATGCTAATTAGTATTTGCTGAAGCGAGAAATAAACGCATGCGTATGTTACACTAGCACAATGATCACGTGTTTTTCGCCGTAAATGGCACCGTTGAGCGGCCATGGTTTGAGGGCAGCGCTCGAGGATATTTCTTGTCGTTTCTGGTGCAAATACCTATTTGAGCTGGCAATCCGAGCGTTGTAGGCAGAGGGAGCTGACCGATGGAGAGCGCGATAGACGATGTCCGCAGTGTGACACAACAGTACTCGGCGGCGTGGAACCATGCACGCATGTGACACATAGCCCAAACCACATACGTGGTTCCACGCCGCCGAGGGTTTTGCACTTTAGTGCTTTTCATTATAGATTGTTTCAAGGCACGTCTTAGTACATAGCAGTTGAAAGAAAGAAAGTGTTAACCTTCCGAGGAGAACGTGAACATGGGGAGAACTCCGAACACGTCACGACCCAAGTGCAGCAGTCGTCGTTTCGTGTCCACCAGTGCAAAGGCAAAGATGCCGTCCAGCATTCTGGCCGTCTCTTCTGCGCCGAATTTCTCGTACAAGTGGACGATGACCTCCACGTCGCAGCGAGACTCGAACTCGAACCCGTGAGCATCGCGCAGAGCGAACGCATTGTAGATCTCTCCGTTGCAGATGAGCGTGATATGCGGATACCGCTTGAGGCGCATCGGCTGCATGCCGCCTGCGGAGTCGTTGATCTCTAGTCGGTGGAAGGCCAGAACCGAGTGGGGAAGGTCTTTCACCGTCTCTATGCGAGTGGCGTCCGGTCCGCGGCGAGCGACTTTGAAGCATTCCCCGACGGCTGTGTGAAGAACGCTCTCGTCAGACACACCAAACAGCGCCCAGATCCCACACATTTTGTTCCCAAGTCGACTGGTCCTGATATTGAATCACACCTGAAGCTGTGAATATCACACGAGGACTACGTATATTATAGTTACCAAAGGTATTTCATTTCCGGTTAAGTAACCAAGGCTATTGTCACGGAGGGATGGCAGCCCTTATAACCAACGTGCTCGCCTAAACTCGCTATGCCACTCCCCTCTGTATAGCTATGAAGACTCCTATTCTCTGTGGGCATGCGCAAGCTTGCTTCTCCGTCTCCACTAACTATAATATAGCCTGACGGTCGAGGTTTTTGTAAGTGGAATATATGGACGGGGAGCGGTGGACCAAACAAAGGGTCCAAACTGACAATGCGAGTCTAAAAACGAGTGCAGGTATAAGTATACACAAAGAAGTAACGCAGAGCGAAAACTCTCGATGGGCGTGTGTCCATATACCGTAAGTTTGAGGCGCATCGGCTGCGTGCCGCCGGCGAAGGCATTCGTGTCGGAAGGGTGCCCGAGAGTAATTGCGCATGCATGCGCAAAACCAACTCCATAAATATGACGGAGCGACGACTTTCCGGTTGTGAGTAAACGACCAGCGGCGTATCCAGGGGGGGGGGGGTGCCTTGCGCCACCACTTCAACATAGCCGTCCTGTTTGTTTTATGCATGCGCAAGTTCATTTTCTCCGTCTCCTCTATCCCCTACTCGAAAACTCACTCAAAAATAGTGTAAGTATATCGCTCTATCGCTGGATGTCGATGTTTTTAATTCTCCCCTCATTGTGTTGTGTCCAGTGGAATATATGGACGGGGAGCGGGGGACCAAACAAAGTAACAAGATTGCTTCGCGCAGAGCGAAAAACTCTCGATTAGCGTGAGATTCAGATACCGTTTGGCATCGGCTGCATGCCGCAGGCGAAGGCATCGGTCTCTAGAAATCACGAAAATCTGGAAATATCTTGAAATCTCATAAATCTGAAAATATTAGTTGAAATCACGTGGAAATATTGAGAAACCACGGGCTAAATCTCGTAGACCCCTCGTCAACGGGTCCGCTTGCTCTTGCGTATCTTGAAGGCACAAGATGTCACAACGAAGGGCGTGTCTCGACTCCCGCATGCTATCTACTACTGTAGCTAGCCTGTATCAGACTCTCCGCGAGCTACTAGCGTGGAGACCACGAGCAAACGCATAATAGCGCCCTGCTCAGCGGAACCGCGCATGCGCAGTTCGCCGAAACTACGCGGCTCTACTATACTACGACGCAGTGTTTTGGCCAAAAATCCGTCGGAGGCGCCTCTACAAAACAGTATCCAGCTTTCTTGTATGGCCAATCTCCACACTTTGGACATTGGCCGTAAGTGTGTAATTGCATATCCCCGCCTACGTTCACACATGGCGTACAACAGTATATAATTCTTGTGAGACAATCCTGGAATATCCCCAAATTATTCCTGCAATATTCTCAGTTCTCACAGCCACAATAATATGCCCAGCATAATTTCCTCACCCCTGCAGAGATAAGGAGCTACTAGCAATTGTTTTGTGCTGAGGGTTTGCACTTTAGTGTTTTAAGCTATATACACCAGTCTAACAGTCGTGAGTTCTAACAAAACGTATGATTATCTACTTATAATGTGAGAGGACTCTTGCAGAAGGGTCGGTAGCGTTACACCACTTGGGCATCCAGTAGTGTGGGGTGAGCGAGTGTCTGCCTGGATACAGCTCTTCAAACACCTGACGATAGTAATAGGTCTCTTTAGTAGCAGGGACCACCCCTTTGAATCGCTTTCCTGCCTCAGAGAGCATAATGTCACTGATCTGTGGCAAAATAGATTAGTGTATAAATGGAAAGTCCTAAAAAAGAAGCAAGCAGCTAAGGTAGCTACAGCAACCTTGTCTTTAATGATGTCTTGGACATATTCAAACCAGCACTTTCTCTTGAAGTGAAACCATCGCTGAATACCTCCTTGGGACGCCAGAGAATGGCATCGGGCAAAATCCCTCTATCGCTGAAAGACTTTCTCAGGAGGTACTTTTCGATGCTTTCTCGAGGATGTCTCTCTTCGGGGGAGAGGGAGAGGTAGTAGGACGTGAAGAACTTGTCCAGGAAGGGGACTCGGAGCTCCAGACCATGCGCAGCCACCGAGCGGTCAGCTCTGACATTGTCATAAAGGTAGAGTTCCTGCAGAATCCGACGAGAATCTCTGTCTGCTTCTTCCGGTGTCGGTGCCTTGTGGAAGTAGATGTATCCCTGACACAGTTCATCTGCCCCTTCACCTGAAAGTGGAAATAGATTAGGAGTACGGCAGTTTGAATCAGAGGAGGATGAGGAGGAACTCTAAGTAGAAGGATGAATACTATGGTGGAACTATAATGGATAGTGTTCACCCCCCAGGGCCTTTGAAACATGTTGTGCATGTCACACTCCAAAAGAGTTAGACGTTGAGTTATGGACAGCACGCGATTTAGGAATCCTCAGGCCCAATAGCATTGTCCTCGCTGAGCTCGAAATGCCACGGCCCCAGGGCCTCAGCCTCCTAAATTTGTCTAAAGACAATTAGGTTTATCGCTATCGCCTAGGTTTGCAGTGGCAGTGCAACAAACTTCCACTTCTGAACGCATCAGGTAAAAATAGGGATATTGCCACATTATGTTTCTGAGAAACGAGCCATACACAAGCGGAGCCCCTCACGTACAGCGCAATGCGCGTTGCGCGTAATGCTCTTAGCGCGGTTCTGGTGTGGCCATATGGCCAATCGTCGCCACTACGTAATTCATTCACAAACGCAAACTTGTCCCTGTGTGTCATAACCCCTATTTTTACTTGATGCGTTCACACTTCTAATTTTTAAGGCTAGGTTTTGCTTTTGTTGTGCCAACTATACCAGTGGATATTGTATAACCTGAGAAAAGGACGGTTGTGTTGGTGTTTTCCTTGATGTACTTGGCCACCAGGTACATCCCGACAGCACACCGGAGAGTGAGGATGTCATAGATTTCCAGGGTGTATATGACGTCGCGAATAGCCTGGAATCCCTCCTCCGGAGTGAAGAATATCTCGTGGTGCTCCGTGTTGAGGTGCTGTGCCACCATTCTCGCATGTTCCACATCTGGTGACCCTTCCATCCCAATACAGAATGTCTGGACTCTGGAAGCCATACCGAGCTAGTAAAATGCTTTGGAACCAAGTTTTTTACTGCCAGCCCATTTGGACTATATATCAGAAGGAACATGTCCTTTAGCATTAACTTACGGGTAATTCTTATGTATGCAGTCATTACTGGTCTCTCTGATGGACTCCACTACCAGAGCAGCCACCAGACTGGAGTCCAGTCCTCCTGACAGCAGACACCCGATCGGTCTCTCTGTCATCAACCTCTTCCTCACCGCCTCCTTTAGCAGCTTCCTCACGTTGGCCTGGACATCTGACGACAGGGTCATCCCCTTCTCTCTCACTGGGTCTGAACCTCCGATGGAGACAAACCGTCTCTCTGAGACAAGCGAGGTCTGCCCCTGCATCCCGAGCTCGTAAGTCCTCACATGTCCTGGAGGGAATGGGGAGATATCGGCGTCTTTGCTGTTGATGGCAGCAGACTGGAGTCCCTTCACCTCTGAACAGAGACCCAGGACACCTGGATAAAGCACCAAGTAACTGGTCAATACATAATTATAGATTGTTTCAAGGTACGTCTTAGTACATAGCAGTTGAAAGAAAGAAAGTGTTAACCTTCCGAGGAGAACGTGAACATGGGGAGAACTCCGAACACGTCACGACCCAAGTGCAGCAGTCGTCGTTTCGTGTCCACCAGTGCAAAGGCAAAGATGCCGTCCAGCATTCTGGCCGTCTCTTCTGCGCCGAATTTCTCGTACAAGTGGACGATGACCTCCACGTCGCAGCGAGACTCGAACTCGAACCCGTGAGCATCGCGCAGAGCGAACGCATTGTAGATCTCTCCGTTGCAGATGAGCGTGATATGCGGATACCGCTTGAGGCGCATCGGCTGCATGCCGCCGGTGAGGTCGTTGATCTCTAGTCGGTGGAAGGCCAGAACCGAGTGGGGAAGGTCTTTCACCGTCTCTATGCGAGTGGCGTCCGGTCCGCGGCGAGCGACTTTGAAGCATTCTCCGACGGCTGTGTGAAGAACGCTCTCGTCTGTCACACCAAACAGTGCCCAGATCCCGCACATTTTGTTCCCAAGTCGACTATCACCCCTGCCCAGTCCTGATCACACCCCCGGAAATGGGGTGGAGAGAGAAACAAAAAAGAAAAAGCAACGGCCAGCAATTGGCGACCACGCGGACGGTCGTCCCAAACGCATGCGCGCTTCTGCAGCCGACAGCGCATGCTCTTAGCTCCCGCGCCGGGGGCCGCCGGTTCGCTCGGTCGACCAGTGAATCACACCTGAAGCTGTGGTGTTCCGAATAATTATCACTATATTATAGTTACCAAAGGTATTTCATTTCCGGTTCAGTAACCAAGGCTATTGTCACGGCAGCCCCGCCGATCTCCAACGAAGGAGGTTGCGCACAATCAACATTCCTAAGCTGTCCGCGCATGCGGTTATAATGTAATCAAGTATCGTAGGAAGTGGCTCCGAGACCTTGCTATCTCTCGATTGTTTTATGTCCAAGTGTGTACCGCTCGTAGCCTTAGGGTGCCCGAGAGTAATTGCGACTCAAAACCCAACTCCATAGTACGCGACGACTTCCGGTTGTCAGAGTGTGAGTAAACGACAACAGCTAGAGCTAGATGTGCGGGATCTGGGCACTGTTTGGTGTGACGGACGAGGGCGTCCTTCACCCAGCCGTCGGGGAATGCTTCAAAGTCGCTCGCCGCGGACCGGACGCCACTCGCATAGAGACGGTGAAAGACCTTCCCCACTCGGTTCTGGCCTTCCACCGACTAGAGATCAACGACTCCGCAGGCGGCATGCAGCCGATGCGCCTCAAGCGGTATCCGCATATCACGCTCATCTGCAACGGAGAGATCTACAATGCGTTCACTCTGCGCGATGCTCACGGGTTCGAGTTCGAGTCTCGCTGCGACGTGGAGGTCATCGTCCACTTGTACGAGAAATTCGGCGCAGAGGAGACGGCCAGAATGCTGGACGGCATCTTTGCCTTTGCACTGGTGGACACGAAACGACGACTGCTGCACTTGGGTCGTGACGTGTTCGGAGTTCTCCCCATGTTCACGTTCTCCTCGGAAGGTCAGTCAGCCTCCATTGTCGGTGGAATCCGGTATTATGACCAAACAGCTTCCTGCTGAAATTCTGCACCTATTCATTTCTCAATGTTACATAATGATTATGCAATGTCTAGTTTGCTTTCAGAGTTTAGTTTTGGTACACTTCTTTATCCAGGTGTCCTGGGTCTCTGTTCAGAGGTGAAGGGACTCCAGTCTGCTGCCATCAACAGCAAAGACGCCGATATCTCCCCATTCCCTCCTGGACATGTGAGGACTTATGAACTCGGGATGCAGGGCCAGACCTCGCTTGTCTCAGAGAGACGGTTTGTCTCCATCGGAGGTTCAGACCCAGTGAGAGAGAAGGGGATGACCCTGTCATCAGACGTCCAGGCCAACGTGAGGAAGCTGCTAAAGGAGGCGGTGAGGAAGAGGTTGATGACAGAGAGACCGATCGGGTGTCTGCTGTCAGGAGGACTGGACTCTAGTCTGGTGGCTGCTCTGGTAGTGGAGTCCATCAGAGAGACCAGAAATGGATTTGTGCACAAGGGATGCCCGTAAGTGGGAACATAGCACAAGTCAACTCAAGCTCTTTGCCTAGCATCCGATGAAAGTAGAACAAAATGGCACCCATTTGTTCCGTACATCCTATAATAGATAGCATCTTACCAGCTTAGCCCATCCATTTTCCATTTTATGAATCACATGGTGTTGGGTGCTGCCAGTACCACGTAGATGCTTTCCATCGTCTTTAGTAGACCAGTTATACAGTGGGACCACCGATAAGGGACAACCTCTCTACAAAGAACACTTGTTTAAAACCCATGCTAATACTTTAGTGTATAATAATTTTGATCTCTGATCTCCTCTAGTGTGATCTCCGAGGTAGGGGTGACCTCTCTACAAGGGACAAAATTGTTGGCCCCATAGTGTCCCTTGTTCAGAGGTTCCACTGTAGATACTTTATAGGTAACTTGTGCTATTCCCCTAGGATCCAGACATTCTGTATTGGGATGGAAGGGTCACCAGATGTGGAACATGCGAGAATGGTGGCACAGCACCTCAACACAGAGCACCACGAGATATCTTTCACTCCGGAGGAGGGATTCCAGGCTATTCGCGACGTCATCTACACCCTGGAGACCTATGACATCACCACCATTCGAGCCTCTGTCGGGATGTACCTGGTGGCCAAGTACGTGAAGGAGAACACAGACACAGCGATTCTCTTCTCAGGTATTCAGTGTCCCATTATGTATTGGTCAAAGCCCACAGTGCTAATGTAACCCAGTACAGTATATAGCCTATTTAACCATGCATGGAATGTACTAAGAGAGTTAGAGGGCTGTGTATGCTCTCGGTGATTAAAAAAACTTTGATAAGACTTCTTCATACATCAGGCACTGTCCCCCCGAGCGATTAAAACCGTGTCTGTAAGCCCAGTGACCTATAATTATATCTCTATACGGCTTGCACATCTCGCTTGCGTAAGCAATCACACACTGCCCACTTAGAATCCTCATAATTATTATCCACCATCAGGTGAAGGGGCAGATGAACTGTGTCAGGGGTACATCTACTTCCACAAGGCACCGACACCGGAAGAAGCAGACAAAGAGTCTCGCCTCCGTCTGGAGGAACTCTACCTTTACGACAACCTCAGAGCCGACCGCTCGGTGGCTGCGCACGGTCTGGAAGTCCGAGTCCCCTTCCTGGACAAGTTCTTCACGTCCTACTACCTCTCCCTCTCCCCCGAAGAGAGACAGCCTCGGGAAGGCATCGAGAAGTACCTCCTGAGAAAGTCTTTCAGTGACAGAGGGATTCTGCCTGATGCCGTTCTCTGGCGTCCAAAAGAGGCATTCAGCGACGGTGTGTCGTCCAAGAAGAGACCCTGGTTTGAACATCTTCAGGATATGATAAAAAGCAAAGTAAGTTTGGTTTCAAGCCAGAGAACTGTGGCTTAGTGCACTAACGTGTTGAAGACTCTTGTCCAGCTATTGTGTGGTGGTGAGGGTAGTGTATTGAAGCTTTGCATACCTGAGGGCGATCCAAATCCCATGTACCACAAACAAGCTGATCATTATCCCAATGCCACCACACACGTCATGTGCAACTCATGTGCAACTCACGACAGCTAATTATTTACTTGGAGTTATTTCTGCCTCACTGCTGGACTAATTGGGCCTATTAGTAGTTTATGGTGGAGGAAATGATCATGTGTACACACACCAACCACATCAAACTGTGCAGCCAGAAGAAAGAAGCTGTACCATCATTATGACTTACCACAAGAAGGACACAAACACTGGATACCCAACCTTGAGATATCTTTTGGTATTTGACAACTTTTTTTTTCTTCCTGTCCAGATCAGTGACAGTATGCTGTCTGAGGCAGGAGAGCAATTCAAAGGGGTTGTCCCTGCTACTAAAGAGGCTTATTACTACCGTCAGGTGTTTGAAGAGCTGTATCCAGGCAGACACTCCCTCATCCCCCGCTACTGGATGCCCAAGTGGTGTGACGCTACCGACCCTTCTGCAAGAGTCCTCTTACATTATAAGTAGTCACAGAGTATTTCACATTCAGTCATTTTAAGGCTTCACAAATTTGCATCCTAGTCAATTCACTACATCATCATCATCATCGATCAACATTCTTTTATTTATAATATGATACCCCAAGTTCAATTAGCCGCATGGGATGAACACCGTTCATCCCTAGCAACCTTCAGTTTGGCAGAACAAGGTAATTGCTCTTTCCTACCCTCTTAGATCATGGTGGTGAGTTATTAACCCTTAGTGCTCACGGACAAAGATGGTACGTATGTCTGGAGTGTGTGAATATAATTATGCATCTCCTCTCTGTTACCCAACAATGTGCAACACGGGGGAGAGGGGCTGAAAGTGAAACCACTAATTTTAGTGCTACACAGATGGCTATCTGGTGAGGTAATTCACATGCCAGTACGTGCGTACGTAGAAAGGCCTGAGGATTGAAGCTTTGGTGTCTGTTGCCTATATAATTATTATAATTGTCTTGCTTATCCCTAGCCCTAGTTCCCTTATAGCGTATAACTCTATTATACTACAAGTAACACATTTTCTCTCGTGACTTTTGTTATGATTCACATGAAGAAAGAACCAGGTATATAGTATTACTAGTGCTACCACAAAAATGCCAAGTAATCTAGTACACTAGTAACGTTGTACTATAATGAACATCCCCATGTCAACTGTTACATGCAGGGAAATGAAATGTGAGACATTGACGTACATACACACGACATAATATCTCCTCTTACTCCAGAGTATATACTACATAATTATAGCAATGGTGAGTCACACTATAATGGGCGGGTGATGGCGGGTGTTTCTAATGCAGTCTTCGATATTACTAGACCCAGGAGTCTGATGGCTCCTCGAGAAGCGGAGGTGGTGGCTGGTGATGGAGGTGTTCCTGCTGCTCTTGCTCTATCTTTTGCCTCTCCTTCTCCCTCCGACTGGTCCGCTTTCTCTCCTTTATCTGCTCCACCTGCAGTTTTTTAGTTGAAGGGAATGTTTCAGTATATTATTATAAGGGCTAAATTTAGAAATGTTACTAAGGATAGAACAAAACAATTGGGGCACAGGCACAGTGAAAGAATGCAATTTAGTTCCGTTTTTAGTAACGTTTCTAAATTGAGCCCTTATAATACTGCCACATTCCCATTAAAGTTACTTTATCTGGCAGTGGAGCCTCTGAATAAAGGTCTGCTTACATTACCTCCGAATAAGGGCCAGATCTGAATGAAGGATGCCCCACAGGTGTCCCTTGTTCAGAGGGTCAACTAAATGCGGCTTCACGTGGACATTGGGTCGGTGCTTCGGTGAGCAGACACTAACACCCCATTGAGCAAAACCAAACAGTTCCAGCAAGGCTTGAGGAGTGCATAATAGGATGCCTTTGGTTTTCGTATTTTTCAGCACTCCGTTAGCATTTGAAAGGTGCACTACTCTTGTCTGTAAAAATTGCGGGTGGAAATATGCTCATAATTTTATAGCCGCCAGCCGTGCTACATGGGCAGTTTTAGGTTAAAAAATCAATAACCAACAAATATCTCAAGTTCAACAGAACACCTCTAAAAGGACATCCCCGAAATGAGGACATCTCTCTAATAAGAGCACCTTTTCTCTCCTCAAAACACTCCTGCATGCAATTAACCCCTGAAATAAGGACACCTCACTAATGGACACTTTCTTTTGTCCCATTGGTGTCTGGAGCATTCACAATAGTGGGTAACTCACAGCAGCATATGTGGCATTGGGGTCAGGCACAATTTCCTCCGGAACGAGAGGGGTTGAGGAGACGCTAGCCTCTCCTCCCTCTCCTCCTCTGTCTACCCCCGCAGCGACACGAGCTGGGGAGGCAGATACCTCTCTGGCTGACCCTCCCTCGTGCTGGACATAGGAGGAGGAGGAGAGGGGAGGGAGGGGGGAGGTCCCTCTGCTGCTGGCACTGGTTCCCACCTCGTCTATCGTCTGGTATATTGTGGTGGCTGTAGTGGGAGAGAGAGAGAGAGAGAGAGAGAGAGAGAGAAGGAGGGGATTCTCAAAGATCATCCAAGTCAAGGTCAATACGTTCATGAATGGAAGTATTTTATTGCTGCTTTCCCTGTCTAATCAAATGCCTAGCCCTGGTCCCTCACAGCATACTGTGCATTGAACTACAGTACCACCAATAACCTTGCTCATTCACGACATTCACAATCAACAGATTGAATGCGGCACAACTCTGTACGAAATGTTTGTGCATGACCTGCATTGACATGGCACAGAGACCTCGGTGTGCATGACCTGCATTGACATGGCACAGAGACCTCGGTGTGCATGACCTGCATTGACATGGCACAGAGACCTCGGTGTGCATGACCTGCATTAACATGGCACAGAGACCTGTGTGTGCATGACCTGCATTAACATGGCACAGAGACCTCGGTGTGCATGACCTGCATTGACATGGCACAGAGACCTGTGTGTGTCGGTTAATACGACGACTAGGTAGGCTCGCTTCACTCATGATCACCAATGACTTCCACAGCTCATGTAATGGGGTATGCTAAAGCATGTCCCAATATTATATTACATTCAGACACTTTGCTCTAAATGTAAAATGACAGGTAGACTTATGTAGCTAATTTACTAGTATATCTACACATGCTCACGGGCTTGCTGTGCTCCTGATGACGGGTGTACTCTCGCAGTTGCCGTGGCAGCAGTCGCCGTGGAGATTGTCTGGTATCCGGGTTCTTGAGGGGAGGGCGACCTCCGTAGTGATGATGGGCGTGGTTCCTCGGGTCGGGGCGTCTCGACCATGCCCCCCTGTCTCCCTCTTCCCTCGCTCTCCTCCCTCTCCCTCTCTCTCCCTGTCCGTCTCTTCTTGTCCTCCTTCATGGACCTCTTCTTGTGTTGGTGGAACGCGAGAGACGTGGCTCCGCTGATGATTCAAACTACACACCCCACGTGACCAGAGTACTCCCGCTGCATGCGGAGGTAGGCCGACTGCTCCCACCCCTCTCTCTTGAGGGACGGCTTACACTCCTTGTACGAGTAGAGGATTGAGCTCTGGAGAGAGGGAGGGAGGGAGAGAGGAGGGAGTGAGGGAGGAGGGAGGGAGGGACGGGATGAGAGAGAGAGAGAGGAGAAGGGAGGGATATAGAGGGACTCAGCGAAGCTGCGCGCGCGCGAGCGCGCGCTAGCGAGCGCGCGTCAGCGATCGCGCAGCTAGCGCGCGACGCGAGCGAGCAGCGCAGCGCTCGCGATGCGACGCGGCAAAGCGGGCGGACGTAGATCTGCACAGAACCGTCTAGTAGGGTCCTGCTTTATCCCACCCGTCTTGTATGTACCATTTGTTCGAGTACTGTTTTAGTACTTTAAGGTACGGTATTGTACTTACTCTTAAATGAAAAGCACTAAAGTGCAAACCCTCAGCCCACTGAGCATGTGCGGTACCGCTAATTGATGGGTTGGGCCAAGAGTATGCGTTTACTCGTGGTCTCCACGCTAGCTCGCACAGACACGGGCAAGCTACACTAGTAGATAGCATGCAGGAGGCCCTTCGTTGTGACTTCTTGTGCCTGTCGAGGGAGACAGACTATTATAGTGGTCCTCCTTTAAGGGACACTCCCAATAAAGGACACCACAGGAGGCGAGGGAGACATCATATAGTGGTCTTCTTATAATGAAGAGGTGGACCATAGCATGACGCATACATACACAGTTGGCAGGAGTTACTAACCTTGTTGGCTGCAAAGACAATCTTTGTCGTGTGTTGTCGTGATCTCGATAGCCTTGTGAGGTAGGGTACGCCTTCTTTGTCTCTGAATAATCTGAGAGAGGGATATGGACGGAGGAAGGTAAATGGGGGCTCAGTTTTATATATAAGAAGAGAAGAAAGTTGAATATCAAAGAAAAAAAGAAACTTTATCTCAGTTTTTAAAAGTAGAGAATAAACTTTAGGTTGAATATCACAGTTTGTATAAGAAAGAAGTTGAATATCTCAAAGAAAGAAGAAAGTTGAATATCTCAGATGAATATGTCAGTAGTGAGTCAAGGGAGTAAAGAGGGAGAGGGAGAGAGGCATAAGGAAGACAGGGGGCAAGGAGGGTATGAATAAGAGAAGGGGGGAGGAGGAGAAGAAAAACAGAGGAAGAAGTGAAGGAAGAAGGAGGCGGGAAGAAGTACAGAGACAGGGAGTGGAGTGGGTAAGGTGTGTCTCACCTGGCGTTGTCACCGCTGTTGGCACAGACCTCCATGAGGAGGACCAGGAAGCTACAGTGGTCGACTCTGATATACCGAGGTGGTTGGAACCAAACGGGAGTCGAGGGATGATTGCTGGAATCACCAGTGATCCTGGACAATAAAGGGTTAAAGGGAATGTGTTAGTACGTACGGGGATATAAAGATGAATAGGCCAGTGCAAGTTCCGTCACCATTTTAAACATTTTCTCTTATTATTATACTGCCACATTCCCTTTAAGGAAAGATAATTTAGGGGTTAACCTGTAGAGCCTAAACAGTAAACACTATATACACAGCATTCTCCTCTATATAGCTGTTGTTTGCCTCCTCTGTTGAAATTTGCATTCTCATAGACACACAGCCAGACCCACCGAGGCTGGCCTTGTTGCGAGGGTCAGTGGAGAGGTTCCTGAGGCAAGTGGCTCCGGCCCTCACCACTGCGTCGTGACCGTTGTTGAGGAGTTCGGCCATCACCCTCAGACCTGTCACTGCTCGGATCATGTTCCTCGCATACACCGCCCACTGGGAAGACAGGAGGCACATGTACATGTGAAAACTACGAGGTAAAAAGGCAAAGGCACAACAAACAAATCAACTACACCTAGGACAGCTCTTTAGAGCTGTCCTGGGTGGGATGTACGTTTTTTCACACGTAGCGGGTCACACATAGGTGGGAAATGGGTCATTATGATACACATACATGTACACTAATCTCAGTACATGTACGTATGTACCTTCCAGGAGCAGGCGGTGATGTTCTGAATGGCACCGGCAGCTGCCTCGAGAGTGTCCGCACACCCTCCGTAGAGGTCAAGGGTCGCCAGGTAGGGGAACACCACCTCTGGTTGCCATAGCAATGCCACACCCTGCACCTGTCTGTTCCTCTTTGGGAACACTGAGGGATCTGGAGAGGGGGGAGGGGCAGTATCTGTGTGGCATGTCAGTCTAGCTTTATACTAAAGAGTACATCATTTTCACAGCAGTTTTAGAAATTTGCTGGTCATTACTTCATAAAAATCATGTTCACTGTCGTTTATTGTCTCCCTAACTACCACTAACATTGTTCCTTTCGTTTTTTTATTTTTATGACTTTCGTTTAGTACCCTGATTTGAGAACCATCACCGGTCCCGTTTACCAACACTAAACCAGTGTGTAGAGCAAAATTTTCACAGATATTTTTGCAAAATACCGGGGGAGCGCCCTCGTGCAACGTACAACACATACATGTGGGAGCAGACGTTCTAAAATAATACACTCGAATGCTGAACAACCTACGTGTATGTATGTACATGCAGAATTTGAGTGTATATTTTAGAACGACGCCCAGTATTTTGCAGATCTGTGAACATTTATGTAGCGTCCAGCTCTCTCTCTCTCTCTCTCTCCTCTCCCTCCCCCTCCCCCAACTCACCAGGGTTGGCAAAGTCGACAATAACACTCGGTCTGGAGACATAGCTTCTTCTGGAGTCGGGATGGGCGGGGGGAGGTGAGGAATGTCGGGCGGAGTCCGTGGTCTTGGGGCGGGTACACATTGACAGACATCCCGGGGTCGACGCCTTCTTCGGTCTATACGTAAGACGGAGACGGAGAGGAGAGGGAAGACAGAGGGAGGGAGGGAGAGATAGGGGGAATAGAGCAGGGAGAGGGGAAAATACTATTATGCTATACGTAGAGTACTGTAAGTGCGTAAGGGATGCCACGGTTTGCTTTCTTCACTGATGGGGGATATTTTTTGGGTCAATTGGAGAATATTTTTAAAGTACACAGACACACAAACAGACTAAATGAATGAAAGAGACGCAGAAAGCAGTTGTCCATCGTCTCGTATACACGATGCAACTTCAATGCATTGGTGTCAACACACAGCGCGCGCATTGCGCCGAGGGTTCGTACGTACTTCACTTTTAATCGAGAAGTTATTTGTCAGTGTCTAGTAACCTTGCTGCAGAGAAGTCCTCGAGGTCTCTCCTCTGTTCGGCCTCCCAGTCGCGGTCCAGGACATCCTCCGCCCCGTCCTGTAGGTCAACCTCGCTCTCCAGCTGGTAGGACAGGTTTCTCAGGACACACATCACATCTCAACCGTCTGGAGAGCATAATGTGTGAGGGATACGTGTCATGTCAGCCTTTATAAACTCGTGATGCCAGAGAGAGAAGTTGGGGATGTCTGCTTATGAGGGCCAACAAGCCCGAAACAGCTGTCCAGAGCTCCCCATCTTTTTTCTCTTGGCATCACATGGTATTTTCTATATACATGTGTAACAGATTCCATATACCAATACGTAAGCCAAGGCAATAAGCCCTGTCATAAGACAAGCACCATATAGACACTGACCTTTTCATCAGCACTCGGTCTATGCTGGACGGCTGCTTTGCTCAGCCACAATAGGGAGTCCACAAGTCCCTTCACCTACACACAACACACACACATACATACATACAGAGGATAGCACACCTGTATTATAATGTGGACACTTTCATTGTACAACACAAACACACTGGTAGAAGCACACTGGTAGAAGCAACAATAAACTATTTCGCCTACATATATATATACACTCTGTTTTGTAAGAACAAAAATCTATTGTAAACATAGTAGCGACGAGCAGGAAACGATGGTATTTGTGGTAGTTAAGGTTAGTCGAAAGGCAAGGCAAACAAGATGCAGCAAGCCCAGGACAGCTCTTTGTTTTCAAGGAGAAGAGCTGCCCTGGATTTGACGCTTTGCTTCTTCAAGGATAAGAGCTGCCTGGGATTTGAACCCACGACACGCTGCCAGTCTAGGCGGCGCTCTACCAACTGAGTCGTACCAGGGGAACTCAGATGGTGGGGGTTCGAATCCCAGGGCAGCTCTTATTTGAAAAGAAAGAGCTCAAATCCCAGGGCAGCTCTTCTTTTTCCTAGAAAACAAAGAGCTGTCCTGGGCGTAGTTGACATCGTTTGACAACGCAATACAAAGGCAAACCTCAAACCACTGTGGTACGGCACAGTAATGCACTGTAGAGGGTGCTAATGATCAGAACTCTCTGTCAGCATGCTGCATGGGAGCTAGCTGATTCGTAGCTCTCAGACATGCAACTTTCCCCAACCTACATATTGTACACGCCAGAGAGTATACACCTGAACTAATGTGCATCTACAGAGACCAGCAGTGGGATGACTGACTCCAAAAATGTTAACAACCAACGTTGTTACTACTTTCCATTTAAGAATCACGAAATATGCTAAGTCAGCATCAATTCTATTTAACTACTGTTCCACTGTCCCTATATTGTCTTGCAACAACCAATACAACACAGTATGTAGACATACATACCTGTCTCATGAACACTCTGGCCGGCTCTCCTGCCGATGAGATGTTCTTTAGTGTTCCTATTGAATGGGAATTGAGAAATATCAACCCAGAGTTGTATATATAATAGTTAGACGCTGATTCGAGGTAACTACGCGCAGTAGAAAGCCAAGAGCCCCGGCATTGTGGCGCCCCGAGCGCAGCGATGATGCGCGACGGGGCAAGCGAGGCTTGTCTACGGCGCGTGTGTACCGAGGAATCAGCGTCTAACTATTTTAGAGTGAGCGCTTCATTCACGTTGAGCGCTCCTGGCTTTTGCCTCTTTCCCTTTCTTCTTTTTCTCGCTTTCGGTTCGTTCGTATGGCGGATGCGCGTCTAACGATGACACGATGGAGACAGGCCTCAGAGCGCCAGAAAATGCGTGCAGAGAGCGACGCGGCGAGACACGCGTTGGTTAGCGACTCCGCCTTCTTTTCTGGTTGCGCGCAGTCTGCGCGTGCGCGTGGCACGACGCGTCAATGTAGATTCGGTTTGTGTTGATCTTGTTGTTTACATGTACATTTTGTTATGTGTTCCTGTTTATCTGTATGAGTTTGTAGTTCTGTAGTTACGATTATAGTAAACCCCGTCGAGGTTACTACGGGAAATATGTACAACCTCGGCTTTGCACTCTGAGTGAGTCCAGTTCGAACCTAGCTCACT